CAAACAAACCAAAGCAGATTATGCTCTCCCAATTAGTACACTCTTAGCTGTCCAACAAGGAAGCTTAAGTAGTTTACCAAATAAATCATGGGCAGACATTGCCTCTGAAGAAGACATGGAAATAGATTTAGCCAGCCTAAACATTATACTCCAGTCCTTCAGTCAAACTCAGAAAAAAATAACCAATAAAACAGAAGGGACCCTTGACCTTCACAAAGGAAAACAAAAAACTTCAAATCCAAACCATTATATAGCCAAAGGAAAATTTTCCTCAGTTATACAAATGGAACCCGAATTTTGGGACAAAAACCCATACAAAGCTATCACCAAAGTCTTCCCACCTGGATTCCATTTTAGACCCTATGCGGCAAATAGAACCAGACAATTTTATGAATTTATCTTAGTGGATTCAGATTCTGTTTCCATTAAACATTACAAAGATCACAAAGATCCTTCAAATATAACCCATTCTACGATCCAAATCCTGAAAGTCTTAACTCCAAAAGCCTTTGGGAAAAATTTAAACTCTTATAAAAAGTTTTCCCAACATTTTGACCCAGCAGGATATAATTATTGGGATTACATTGATGCTTGGACAAGAACTTTCTGGTTTCAAAACAAGCTCAACCGACATTCTTGGTTGATATACTTTAAAAAGAATCAGAATTATGATTTTCCAAATTGGTTTCTACAATGGTGGGACTATTTTGGACCAATTGAAGAAATCCTTCCTACACCCGTCAAAGAAGGATATACAATTTACAAAGGCAGATATCTGCGAGAATCAAGAATTCCAGCAGACCTCAAATATTTCTCTGATTTTGCCTTAGCATGGGTATTCTCATGGCAATACAGATATGGCAAAACAGAAAATGAAGACACTCTTCCTTTGTTGCACAGGTATTCCTTTGTCAAATGGTGGAATCAATTCAATGCCGACCATGCTGGTCCAGAAGGTGTTGCTGAATATTTTGGAAAAAAATCCAAAATTATTAAATTTAGCAGATCCGGCAACATTCCAATTTCTCAACCAGAAATCCAAAATTGCAGCCTTCTTATCAGGTTGTGACACCAAAGAAAAAATGAAGAAAAATCTTCAGGATGTTCTCCTGCTCTTACAAAGCCAAGAAGAAGGAGAATCTTCTACAAAACAAGAAACTAATATTGAAGATCAAAATGAAGATGATTGTTTTGGCATCGACATCCAAGATCTTTAAACCTGTACTGTTGTAAATAGTTCCAGTTACCAACCGGAACTGTAGAAATAGTACAAAAATTTTCTATATAAGGAGGCCTCGACCATATTGTGAGGCACCCTTCCATTTAGTAACATAAGAGAGATTTAAGAGAGAGAAGCTCTGAGAGATAATCCCTTGTAAGCCTTCTTTTTCTTTAAGATCTTTCAATAAAATTTGTTGTTTCAAGTTATTTTTCTCTCTTCTCCCTCTTAGCCGGTCCTGTTCGGACTACCGTCGCTCCGGCTTTCTTCTCTTCTCCCTTCACTAGATCTGGTCAGTTATACCACCGTTCTAGTTTCTTTATGTATTAATTGATTTACATACTACACTTTTAACTTCTGCATTTCATATAGTAGTCCTGCTACTGCCTACTTTCCTTTCAGTCTTTTAGCTTCATTAGTCTCTCTTCGCGATCCACTTCGGACTATATATATATATATAAAGTATGTTGTATTTACTATTAATAACTTAATATAAAAATAATTTTTATTAATATAATTGTTAAGTTATAATAATATATTATTGATTATTTATGTTGAATATTGTCAAATTTAAGCATCTATAAAATTATTGTTAAAAAATATTTTAATATATTTTTAAAGATATATATATATATATATATATATATATATATATATATAATATATTATAGCGTGAGCTCATAGTTAAGGAAGTAAAAATATTATAAGTTGAAATTATTTAAAAAATAAAATATTGAATGAATTATACTTTATTACAATAAATGACTTGTGTTATTTAGTGTGAGGCTTTAGTGGACAAATCAGATCATGAGGCTAAATGCATAAAAGATTTGTGAAAAAAATCCCGAATTCGATATGTTTTTAATACTAAAGAGTTATGTTTTTAATACTAGCTAGGGATGAGAGATTGGAACAGATATGGTGCTGAGCTGTTATTGGCGTATTGCTGATAATCGCCCCGGTTATCTCAAAGCACGTGGTATGTGAAGCAAATCACTGCACATTTTATATGAATAAATTTTTAGTGGTTTATTAAAAATTAAAATAAAAGCCTTACCTTACCGGCACGGCAGCAAAGCAGGTCAACAATTGCAACTCACCAGCAACGACTTAAGTTAGTGCCCAAAAGTTTTCCATTTTGGGATACTGCCGACCAAAAATGAATATTTCATATTTTCTAGGTGTTTGCTCTGGTGCTATTACACTTTAGGGGTATTAGATGCCCTTCTTGCCCTTCTTATGTAGTTTAATTTTATTAGTTTAATTAAATTATAACTTTTTTATTATATTTATTTTTTATTATAAAAATGTCCTTAAAAAATAATAGAGAATTTAGAACTACTGTTTTGTTCTTTTTTTCCAATTCAAACTTTTGAATAAGTTCTAAAAATGTTGAAATGTAACTTAATTTTGTTGTTGTTGGGTTTTGGATTCGAAGTTTAAATAGTCAAAAACTAAAAATTGAGATAGGGTAATGCTTTCAACAGTTTCTGCAGAATTTAATTCTTATAATAGGTAATTATTAATCAAAACTTCAAAACTTTTTATAGTTTCAAGGATGAAAGGTTTTTGAAGAAGGAGCAATACGAGTGAGTCAAAGAGTATTCTATTTTTACCACCTCATTCAATCCTATCTCATGCCCCATTCTTTCTATATGCATTATATGTTAAAATTGGAGAGTATCATAATAGAAAATATGTGCTAAAAGAGTTCCCTAAAAATAAAACTTTCCTTGGAAAAGTTATGTATTATGAGTGCTAGTTATATAGAGTTAATTGTGAGGATGGTGATTTTGAGGATTTAGATAGTAGTGAGATTTGCAAGATTCTCCTCAATGATGATAATTTCGATATTGATTTAGCAAAGCAGAGAGGTAAATTGGAGGAATTGGTGTCACAGAATAATGCAAAAGTCAAAAATGTTTCTTAAAAGAGGTCTGCTGAAGTGAACAAAGAGAAATTCGTGGTTGATGTGCCTATTTCAAGTGAATTGAATGGTGGGTCGTTAGGTAAAAATGATGAGGAAGAGGAAGAAGATTATGGTGTGGATGCTGATTCTTCCAGTGACTCCAATGCAGGTTTTAGGGATAGGGATTCTAGGTTTGATGCTGAGACACTTCAACCCTTGCTTCCACAATTGTAGTTGTCATCGTGGTTTGGATCCATTAGTGTGCTTGAGCCATGTATTTTACACCTATTTGCTGTTTATGGATTCTTGAGATTATTCAGCATTCGCTTGTTTTTACCACCTTTTACTTTGGATGAGTTTGTTGGTTGCCTTAATTGTCAAATTTCAATCACTTTGTTTGATGTCATTCACGTTTCGCTATTATGGGCATTGCGACATCATCTTAAAACCATCTTGTCTAAAGGCTTTTAAGCTTGCATCACAATGTCTTAGGTACTTATATTTATTCTTGTGTTGTCGTAGGATTGTGTGAATAAGTAATTTGTTTATATTTAATGATATTAATTTTTTTTAGCAAGATCATTTATAGTTGAAAATATATTATATTTAATGTATTTGCATGTGCAATGATTGAAGCTTGCTTAATACATTGACATAATATGTACAATATATTATAGTTGAAAATATATATTTTTTATTGCCTTTTGATAGTTATACATTGTAAAAATATTAAATGTATCTCACATTGTTGAGACAAAACGTGTCTCACTTGTCATAACTACTAAAAAAATTTGATTAATATTTATATATAAAATAATTTTAATTGTTAATTTTATATTATTAAATAATAAAATTAATGATTTAATAAAAGAATTATTTTATTTTTAAAATATTAGAGAAATTACAATAGTTAATATAAATATAGCATAAAATATTTTTTATAAACTAGCAAACATCTAAAAATAAAATAATTACTTTTAAAAATTTATTTTGCCAATTTTTTTTATGAAATTTATCTTTTTTTTAAATATTACATTTTATCATTTTACATCTGAATTTTATAAGTTTTTCATGTTTAATTATGAAAAACTTTAAGAAAATAAAAAAAAAAAGTTAAAGTTTTACTAATTATGTTACTAAACTTGTAACAAGTGGCAAAAAAAAATTCAGACAGAAAATTAATTTTTTTAAAATTATATTTTGATAATTTTTTAAAAGAAATAATATTGAAATAAAAAAGCCGATAGTTATACATTTAAAAATATTACATATATTTTATTAAATGTAATAAAATCTTTATATAAAATAAGTATTATTTAATAAATTTATATTTTAATATAATAAATATTTTATGACAAAAATTTTGTTTTAAATTTTTATTGTGAATCTTTAAACTGTTATAATTATACTGTAACATTTTTTTTCAATTTTTGAAAGACTAATTTAATTATTTAAATTTAAAAGAAATCTCTCTATTCCTTTTTATTTCTTATCATTTAAAAAATATTTTTAATTTGTGACTTTAGAAATTCAAAAATATATATTATTAGATAATATATTTCAATTAATTAAGAAAATAATAAAAATAATAACTAGACAATATTTTTTATATAAATTAAAATATTAATTAATTTTCTTAAATTATGTAAAGTCATTGTGGATAAAAAAAAAAAACTAGACAAGTAACAAATATAACTTTTAAACATCAAATTAATGATTTCTCAATAATTTTTGAACGATATTTTTTTAAACTTTAATATTTTTTCCAATAGATTTAGAAATTTATATGAACCATCACCTCATTTATCTTTTTTTCTCTTTCTTTACGAGAGAAAGAAAGAGTTTAAAAAATAAAAGAGGAGAAAAAAAAAAGAAAGAAATTAGTATAAAATCTTTTAAATTAAAATAACTTGAAAATATGAAATAAAATTATTTTTGAAAGTTTATAAACTTTCTCCTTCTTGTCTAAAAATTTTCAAACATAATAAACATCACATAAGTCTAATGCATCAGAAACTATAATGAAATAGACATAAATTGCAACTAATATGACATTTTAATGACAACTTTGACACAATTGGGCTGTTTCAATAGCTCAAACGCATTGTTTATATCTGCCAATGTAACCTCATGGGTGAAGAGTTCTTGAAGAGGGAATTCCTGTAAAAAGGAAAAATAGGCCAATACCATTATTATTATTAGTAACACATCAAGATTATATATAAAATATGCAAGAAAAGACCAAGATAGTGCATCTGTTATGGTTTAATGTCTAGAGAATAACCTCTTTCTGGCATTTGTTGGCTATAAAGGAAAGGTCTGATATGGTTTTTAGGCCTCCAAAAACAGAACCTTTCAAAGTTCTACCAAGCAGAATGGTAAGAAGACCCAACGGCAAAACAGGTTCAACTCCTGTTCCAATTACTATTGTTTTACCGGTTCCCTATATATACAGAAGTCAAAATTAGCTTTCTAGAAGTATAAAAGGACGAGGGAGATTAATAATGTGCGTGGATTAATGCAATCAATCATGTGATCTTATCACGAACTGTTTAGAAGAATACATGATAAGTTGTTTTTATCTTATTTTAATAATTTTTTTATATATCTTATGAAATAAGTTATTTTTAATTTATTTTAATAAATTTTATCGTTAAATTTATTAAATAAGCACTTAATTAGCACTATTTTCAAACGCACACTCAGTGATCAAGAATAATATGACAAAACAACACAACCAAATTGCTTTGATGTGGTGAAACTTACAATTTTTGTGGCTTCCAAGCATTCAGTGAGTAAAGGGGCAGCTCCAGTGCACTCAAGGGAATAGTCCACACCTCTTCCACCACTTAGTTCCTTGACCAATTCTGAAATAGATTTATTAGAATCACTGGGATTTATAAAGTCAGTTATTCCAAAAGCTTCTGCTTTTTCTCTCTTCATTTCATTTTTGTCAATTCCAATTATCTTGGTCGCTCCCTGCATTTTGGCTCCACTTACAGCCTACAGCACAAGGTCATTCTAAGTAAGAAACAAAATTCAAGCTTCAAATTAGAACAAAAAATGACACAAACATATAAGATTATATAATGCATACCCCTAATCCAACAGCCCCAAGACCGAAAACAGCTACACTTGATCCACTTTCAACCTTGGCTTCCTTCCAAGCACCTCCAAAACCAGTAGAAAACCCACATGAGATGAAACTGGCATGGGCTAGATCAATGCTTGAATCAACTTTGAGAATGTAGTTGGCATCAATAACCATGTACTCTGACCATGTTGCACAACTTAAAACATGGTATACCCTCTGGCCTCTGATGGACATCCTTGAAGTGTTATCTGGCATTAGACCAGTCCATCTCACAGGGTATGTCAGACACAAATTGGTTTTCTCCGAAACACAATTCTCACATTCTTGGCACTCGCCTATGTATGTGGGAATCACCATATCCCCTTCTTTCAGATTTGTCACTTGATCCCCAACGCTTTCTATAACACTGTAATTATTCATTTTTATATCTCCTATAAAAAAAATTTAGAAATTTAACCAAACCTAGCTACAGTACAGGAGGTAGTATTTGTTGAGCTTACCCAACTCCTTCGTGTCCAAGTGCTAGAGGAAAATTGGTCTGCAAATTAGTTAGTTGGTAGTAATCGATCAGTGAAAAAGATTAAAAAATTAGATTATAGTTTTCTAGTAAACAAACTCAAACTCAATGAATAGGATTGAAAAGACTTTAATCTAACATGTGGGAATCCTTGTGTGCTTGCTATGTCAGTGGAGCATATACTGGCACAAAGCATCTTGACTCGTACTTCAGTTGCTTTTGGAGGGTCTACTTGTATCTCTTCCACCATCACAGGCTTTCCCATCCCCCAGCATACAGCAGCTACAATACTCAAAAACCAAAATTTATACATACATAATATATGAAAAGCAGGACAATGTTTTCATTAAAAAGGTGGAAAGTCACATGAAAAATCAAAGTAAGAAGCTTACCTTTGCATGTAATAACTTGTGAGGTGTTGGACATCGTTTTAAATATAACTTGAACTGCAAAGAGAAGCGATGGTGCGAAGAAACGGTGCTCCTCTTATGGCAAAAGATAATGAACTCCGAAAATATAAAATAACTCTAACTCATAAAATATAATACACTAACACTCTGTGATTGGTTGGACACTTCCGAGTTTGTTTTTGACGTTTGATTTGATAGGCAAAAAGCATACAGAAGCAATCAAGTTTTGCGGGTCCTTCTCAAAATTTCTCCCTGCTCGTGTTTCAAGTTGGGTTGAATGGTAAAAAACAGTACCCTTTATTCCGCCGTCCTGTGATAAAGATAAGATCATTAACTTTAAAAATAGGATAATTTTAAGCTTAAACTTATGATGGGTTGATTTTAAAATTAAATGCAATTAGTTTTGATATAATTAATTTGAATTTATTAAACATAATTAAAACATGTGTCTTCAACGATTTTGTTAAAATACTCAAAATAACATATTGAAGTAATATTAAAAGCTTAAGTGATATGAGATAATCTAGAGGTATAGTTATAACCATGGTCAAACCAACACAAGCAACCATGTTTGTCAAAAATCACTACATAAGGAGTAACGATTAACAACTACAATATCTGAGACGAACTCCACCAGATCATGTTGTCAACCAATACGAATCTTACTCCACGATATAACATTTATGATAGATAGTCCATCTTTTTCATATGCTATATGGCATTCTGTATCAACGAGCAGTGCAACTCCATACAAAATGATTGCCAAGTCAGGTATATAAACATTCAAATAGATTAATGCCTATATAAAAGAAAATATCCAATTCTTTACTAACTATACACTCATATTCGTCATATCCCTTCTAAAAAAACACTTCCCACTAAAGTCATTCACAGTGAAGAACCACTGTCATCCAACGTTTGAAGCCCTTACTCCATTTTAGATATAATACATATCATTAAGTTAGTTAGATTTTAATTTGGTAAAAACTTAAGTAAATATAATAAAAATAAAAAATCATTTTATTATTAAAGATAACTGAAACAGTATTTATTTTTTGCCTTATGGAAATAAATAATCAACAACGATAAATTACGCAACTGATAAGAAATAATATTTTAATTTTAGTGTAGTATTAATGTAAAAAAATTATATTATTAATTAAATAAAATATATTACAAATATAATTTTTATATTAGTTATTATATAAATTTTAAAAAATATTTAAATGATACTATAAAAATTATTGTCAAGATATTTAAATTAAATATAAATTATAACATTTTTATAAAAAATAAAAAAATTATTAAAAATATATGATATTAATATTTTTAGAAAATCATATATTAAAAATTAAAATATCAAATATTAAAATATTTCTCTTGTATAATTTGAAGATTAATTTAAGTGTTTATCATCGGGAAACTCGTGTCTTTGTTACCAAAAGCAGCCCTCGTCCTTTTCCCACAATTATCATATCGAGTCGACTACAGCTGGCAACTATCCGTGTTTTACAAAAGACAAATGTTTACAGAAGATATCTCCTTATCTCAACCATTAAATATCTATTATAATAATATATAATTTTATTAAATAATATATGTTAATAAATTTAAATTATGCAGTAAAATTAAGATATGAAACTCCAATGATAACGGTAGTTTTATTTTTTTTAGAAGAAAATAAAAAAAGTTACAATATCAAATATGACATTTTCTTAGCATCAACTTGAAAAAGTAATTTTAAGTATGTAAGAGATAAGATTTAATTTTTAAAATTATAATTTAAGAAAATTTTTAATTTAATTAAAAAATTTGCACATGTGTTATCTTTACCTATGGTGTGTTGGATAATAATTTGCTAATTTTTTTCTTAATTACTTTGTTATATTCTAAATAAGATTAACATACTTATAGAAATATAGAATAATTTTTATCATAAAGTTGATGACTTTTGTTGTGTCAGATCAACATAAGAGAGTATCACTATGAGTTCAATATAGGTATTATAAAAAATGTCAATGAATCTAGAAAACTTTTTAAGCTAATTTCTATCCATATTCTTAATAAGAGCACTGTAACTAACTTTTCTTGAACCCCTCTAAACACTTCCATCAAAATCAAGGATGAATTCAAAATTTGAATTAGCCTCCCAATGAACCCAATGCTCCAAGCGAACTTGAAATTGTTGCATTTGTTCAAATAAATGAAACAAGTTGATATGATGTTCATAACATCAAGCATAACTTTATAAATTGAGATATTTTTTTCAGCAATGCAATCACCAACACTCATGTCTCTCTATATCCACCATAGTGTAGCTAAAAACAAGAAATAATTACTTTTATGTTGAGTAATAATCCAATTTTTAACATCAAAAGAAGTTGCAAATCCTTCATTCCATAGACATACATGAATCAATATTTTCTTAGATGTCGAACAATCTCTAACACAATAGAAAGTATTCTCAGTGTAAGTGTGATATTTCCTATGATGCCTTAAGTAATTTGTGGAAAGGGTATTATAACGAAAAAGTTAAACTAGGAATTTAATCTTTTTCACACAAGGAAGATGCAAAATCCACTTCCAACTAATGTATTGGTCTATATATATCTCCAACCAACGAACTAGTTCAAATCATGTTTAGCAGTATAACTTTCCTCCAAACTACTTGACCAAATAAACATGTCATCAACATAATTACTAATTGACAAGTTAAATTGTTGAATGACTGAAATAATTAATGTTAGTATCAAAGTGACAATTTTTTAAAATTTTCACCTATGTAAGGTTCAAATGTTATTAACTTACAACTTTATATCTTGAATATTGACATAGGAAGTGTAATCACATAATTTGACTGGTCTCGACTAGTCATGATACCACAAGGAAACTTGCTCATTACCAAGTCAAAAAATAAACTCATCCCTCATAATATTTTTAGCCTTTTTGATTGTTTTCCAAGAATGAGACCCTTCATCTTTATTATGATCTAACAAATTATCTTCCTTTACATATTTTCTATAAGCAATTCAACCTAGAGTTTGTCTTTTATGTTTACCATACCCCAAACTCTTTTACCCAATAAAGTCATATTAATTTTCCTAGTTGTTCTCAAATCAAGCCCACCATCTATCTTGAGTTCTACGAGTGATTGTGTCCCAATTCACCAGGTTAATTTCCTTTCCATCATTATTCTTTCAAAGGAAATCATGCACATACTTATCTATTGAATGGAAAACAAATTTAGAGAGTCAATATAATTGTAGGTATATGTTAGAATTGCCGTAATAGCTGACTTAACTAGAGTTAAATGCATCACTTTATTAAGGAAACAATAATTTCAATTAGCAAACCTACGTTGAATTATCTTCACAATGAAGTCAACGTGTTTTCTTTTCACTATACTTGATATCATTGGAAAGCCTAAATACTTATCAAGGGAAGAAGTAAAACAAATATCTGAGATAGAGGTGAACTTGTCTTGTTTCTGACCATTGATACTAACTGAATTATAAGCTTGACATTTTATCAAATTAATCTTTAGATCAGACATAACACTAAATTAGTCAAAAAAATTCTTAATGTTTATGATTTGAGAGCTTATAACTTTGGCAAATAAAAACTATTATCAGCAAAAAGCAAATAGGATATAGCTTTCCTTATAGAATCTTTTATAGCAAGAACCAACACCTCTATTCACAAAAGGAATAAATATGAAGAGAGTAAATCACCTTGAAGGTAACTTATTCTCATTCCATAAAATGCTCATGAATGTGGTAGTAATACAATGTATAATAAGAGCCATTTTTATTTGGAAACCCAAAGTTTAGGAGAGTATATGATAAGTCTATATTTTGACTTTTTTTTTAAGCTTATTAAGGTATTTTAGGTGTAAATTGGTGAAAAATATGGCAAGCACACTCATGCTTCGGCAGCCAATATACTCATGCTTCGAAGCATATGCACAGGCATGCATATTGGTGCACACAGCCATGCTCTTTACTAGGAGAATCAAATTAAAAGAACTTTTAAGGTTTTTGAAACACTATTTAAAGAACCTAGAGAGCTGCAACTTGGACATCTTGATTTTTGGCCAAGTGTTGACCACTTTTGAAGCTTTTTTTGTAATATTATGAAAATCTAGCATTTAAATGATTTAACCATTTGTTTTTCCCTTAAAAATTTCTTATTTACATTTGTTCTTCTTTCTTGTTTAGTTTTTCTTAGAAATTCTTTTTTGTTATATGCTCACTCGTTCTAAATGTGGACTTGCTTATTTAATCCAAAAATTAAAAAAAAAAATTGTGTAAAAAAAGGAAGAAGTTGAAGGAGCAAAGGATGATAGAGGGAAAGAGATCAATTCATGATTACATTATACCTACTACTGGAGGTGTTGCTGGAAGCATTGCAGTCCCTACAATGGAAGCCAATAACTTTGAGTTAAAGGTGACTTTGATTAATATGGTTCAAAATTATACACAATTTGGAGGAATGCCTAATAAAGATCCTAACCTTCATCTAACAAAATTCCTCTAGCTCACAAACTCTATAAAGTACGCGAAGTCACCAATAATGCTATTAGGCTTCATCTTTTTCCATTCTCTATCACAGAAAAGATGAATGCATGACTCGTCACATCACCATCCAATTCTATCACAACATGGGAGGATCTGACTCAAAAATTGTTAGAAAGTACTTTTCCCTATCTAGATCTGCTAAGCTTATAGCAGAGATATTCAACTTTCAACAATATGAGTTTGAATCCTTATTTGAAGCATGAGAACAATTTGGAGAACTTTTAAGAAGGTTCCCACATCATGGTTTTCCTATGTGGAGACAGATGAAAACTTTTTATAGTGGACTATTAATCTCTAATAGAGTCAAATGCAACAGCTAGAGGAGCCTTCATGAGAAAAGATCCAAATGAGCCTGTTAATTGATAGATAAAATGACATCTGCCAGTTTTTAGTGGGACACAGCTGACCTTTACATGAGTAAAAAGAAGGAGACCACTTTGATCTATTAGGCATAGAGAAACAATCCACTAGCAAACAAAGTAGAAGCGCTAACAAAGCAAGTGAAATCTCTAATGAGGGCACAAAGACAATCAACAAAGCCACATATGGCTTCTTTGTGTGAGCGCTACGACTCCACAGGCCATAATAGCAGTAACTGTCTAGTTACCAAAAATAAAGAAGCTAACTTCATAGGTGCAATAATTACAATTCGAGGTGGCGTAGTAATCCTACTAATTCTTGAGATGAGAACCTCCACAATTGTAGCACAACAGCTTAGATTGTCTAATGTTTCCATCACTTGGTTTCTAGCCTCTAGAGAACTACTTCCCGTTTGGCAGTTAGGATTGTAATATGGCTTCTTCTTATCACGAACTTCTTTCCCCTTAAAGCTAGTCCCTCCTTCACGTCACTGAGGACTAATGTTTTTCCACAATGCTTGAGGTGCCTTGGTATCGTCCTTGTAGATTTGACATTCATCCATTAAGGTTGGAAAATGTATTATGTTGGTAACCAATAGCCTACTTTATGTTTGGACGGAGCTTACTTTCGAACTTAAAGCATCAATTGACAACCACGTTGATGAATCCATGTTTTTATTGATATTTTAGCATAATTCTAACTAAATTGATTAGAAAAACACATGAGAAAAGTAGAAAAACTCAAAAAAATATAATGAATTTGAGTTTTATTTCAATTTGTAGTTATCTTAGCAAATTGTGTAATTCTACTTAGAAATTAAGTTTTAATCTCGTTTTTGTAGAAATAATCTGAGCAAGGTTCATGGAAATAGAAATACAATGGAAAGAAAAAGCTAGAATAGCAAGGTTGGGCTCAAAACACAAGGAATGAGGAATACAGGCTGGGTGTGATCACTATTATCAGTAAAAGTGATCACTCCAAAGCTTAAAGATGAAGTATAACTTAGGCGTAATCACTTTTTCTAGCAAGAGTGATAGTTCCAGAGAAGGCAAAGTTTCAGAATGCTCTGCGTTACTACTCTTATTAGTAAAAGTGATCGATCTAGAGAGTGAAAATATCAAGAAAGCTCTACGTAGCCACTATTATCATTGAAAGTGATAGTTCCAGAGAGCCTTCAACTTGGCGAGTTGCGCGTAGTCACTTTTTCTCATAAAAGTGATAACGCACAACCACTTGAGCTCTGCGTTGACACTTTTACCAGCAAGAGTGAGCATTCTAGAGAGTTCTCAACTCAGTAAAGTGCGTGTAACCACTTTTTCTCATAAAAGTGTTAACGCGCAACAACTCGAGACTCTGCATGGCTACTATTATAGAGTAAAGTGGCAACGCTCAAACCTGAGAATTTCTATAAATACCAGAACGCTCAGATTCAGTTGGGGATTCGGTTCATTTTCCCGTTTTTCTGTTAGATGGTCATTGAGAGAGAGTGAGAGAGAAGATTAGGGTCAAGTCTCGAAGCTGTCAAAAAGAGGAATCGAATTGGAGCTCATAGCCATGGCTTCCTTGAGTTTTTCTTCTTCTTCTTCTTCTTTCTCTTTCTCTTCTTCCATGTCTGAGTAGTTCCTTGTAGTTAGGGATTTATGGAACTTGTATTGATGTATTAATTCTACTTTTACTTCTGAACTTTGAGTTCTTTACTTAATTGAGTTGCTAATTCTACACTTTACATAATCTTTGAATGGGAATTCAATTGATTAATCAATGAGAAACCTTTACCAATGGGAATTGGACTTGTTTTTCTGATATGAATTAGCAACCAGAATTGGGAATCTCTTAGGGATAAAGAAACTTAATTCTACAATCTTTAGTTCTAAGTCTTAATGCAACGTGTAACTGAATTTCACCTAAGGGATTAGGAAGTTTCAGTTTATCGTTAAGGTCAATGATTTAAGGAATTAAACTTGACTATTGATAAGAGAAACTGATTGGCAATTAACTAAGTGCTTAAATGTTCAGAGGTATCATTGAATCAATATGGATATGCTTGTGAAATAAATTCTTAACTATCTTTCAATCCATTTCTAATCTCACATTTCATTCATTGATCTGTTTTTCTGCAAGTTTTTCTTTACTCTTAATTGCTTTGGTTTACTGCTTTTGTATGTTACAACTCTTCTTCCAAATTCGTATGGCTCAAATGGTTACAACTCTATGAATTGATACTTGAAATCTAAATTCCCTGTGGAGACGATATCTTGTTCTTAAAAATTACTCATTACTTGTTGCAATCCTAATGCACTTGCTAGTGTTTAGATTGACAACAACACACGCCATAATGGTTTCAAACAAAACTAGATTCCTCAAATAATTATGCAATATAAGGAGCAAACCTAGGTCATTTCACAAGGACACAAATTCATTATGTTTCTAATTTTAAACATGCAACAGTGGTTAGATTGGGAGATGATTTTTAAGAAATTAAATAAAAAGATAAATTGAAAACAGAGAATTGAATTAAACCCAAAATAATATGCATTAAAACAAATTGAATTGAAATTGAGTTAAACTAAAAAAATGAATTAAATCTAGAAAGAAAATTTAAGTTCAAAAAATGAAAACTAATTAAATCCAATATCACAAAAATGAATTTAAAACCCAGAAAAACAACAACAAATTTAAAACCCAGAAAACGAATTGAAGGAAGAATGGAAGTAATTAAAATGAAAGCAATCAAAACGAAAATGAAACCAAAAATACAAATTAAAATGAAAGCACAGATTAAAAACAAAAATGAACTTAAAATGAAAATAAAAATAATTTAACCCAGAAAAACAAAAACAAATTGAAAACAAAACACAAATTAAAAATGAAACGAATGGAAAACAAAAACAAAAAATGAATTGGAAGCAAAACCCAGAAAAACAAATGCAGATTAAAACGAACGAACGCGCTTAAAATTACAAATCACAGACACAAAATATGATTACTACACTGAATTTGCCTAAATCTCAAAAGCAAAAGAAATCAATCGATCAATATTACACTCAAGAATGAGACCAAATTTAATCGAATTATGAATGCACCAATCTTAATCAAGAATTGTGAAAAGGTAAAAAGATAAACTCAGAGCGATCAATCGATCTTGCAACTCACACTTTTGTGACGAGATGATTCGCGAGAAAAGAATAATTAAGAACTGTAGCAGAATCACAAATTAAATTTGTTGCAGAATCTTAAAAGGAGGCAATAATGGTAACGAAAAACGTTTACTCTCAAAAATGGAAAAAAGTCTTACAAAATCCAAAATTATGAAAAGGAGAGGTCGCGAAATCAACCTTTTGACCCCTATATATACTGGTCTTAAATGAAAACAGAAATAAATGGGCCAAGACTACTGCAAGCAATTATAATAAAAACTCCAAATAAAAACCATAAATATAAAAGGTATGTTTTAAGTTTGAACTTCAAAAATTAATAGAAAATTGCTCTGAACTCCAAACAACATGATCCATATGTCCAAATTGAAGCCCAGGAAGTCAGAATCCATTAGAAAAAAAAAAAGCAAAAAAGGAGATCTACAAAAAAAGTTATGGCCGAAATAGTGAACAAAGGTCAGAATAGAGAAAATATGAAATATAAAGTAAAGATAACAAGTATTCATGAAAACTCCAATTCAAAGCAAGAAATGCAAAAACATGCTAAATGAAATAAATAAAGAAGGAAAGGTATTTTGGAAGATGAAATAAGGCTATAAATGTGAATACAAAATATGAATTATCAAGCATCAAGCTTTATCATCCACATTTGTGAAGTAAGAGCAATGTCTAGACAACTCATTAAATTTTGTAGCATATTCTCCAAAATTCTTATTTCCCTGCTTCAAGTTCAAAAGTTTGAATTCCTTTCTCCTCCTACAATCTTCAGGGAAGTACTTCTCCAAGAACCAATGACAAAACGTTTGCCAATCCATAAAAACTCCTTTAGTTCCTAATTGTTGGTGAGTAATCTTCCACCAATGTTCATCTTCTCGCACTACCATAAAGGTAGCATAAGTCACCTTTTCTTCATCCAAATAGGTCATAGTTTTGAAGGTTTTCTCTAGCTCTTTCAACCAATGTTGTGCACCATCAGGATCAAACCCACCATGAAATTAGGAAGGTTTATACTTACATAATGGACAACTTGCGATTTAGAGCAGGCTCGTTATACCTCTCTAATTTGAGTAAGGCATCAATTGTCTAATCTCGCTATCTCCTAGCTATAGGATTCTGAAATTCAAAAACAAAGGTGAGTGAGACAACAAGAAACACACAGGAAACCTAACAACTACAAAACAATCAAAATCTTGCCACACAAGCCATAAGGGCCTTCAATATAACATCTTAATTTAATTTCTAAATAAATAAATTTCGCAATAAAATGGGAATAATAAAAATTCTTCATTCAAACTGTTCCCAATATATAGTTTCAATAAAGCATTTCAAAATAAGGATGGATTACAATTTGCATCAAATCATTGCTACAGGACTTAATTAATACATCATAATTCCAAAAGAATAATTTCCTAAGTCCTATAACAGTTTCATCCATCCCTTCATTGAGTTCAGTACTGATTGTTTTAGGCACCTGAAAAATAATTATAAGGGTGAGTACTCTATACTATCATACACACATACACAAGCATAAAGTTTCACCTTGCCTATTCCACACATTTTCTAACATAATTTAAATCATGCATCCACCAGTATAAGGTAATAATTTCATCATTCCATTCTTGTTCACACACAAGTGCGCTCACTGCACCATCCAATAATCCACACACGTGCGCTCAATGTATGTAGCCACGGTCACTGTGGTACTTTGATCATAGTTTTCCTAATGCCCTCA